CACACTGAGTGTGAATGGTGTGGGAGACTGGCTTTGTATGCATGGTGATGGGCGGACGGGTACCAGACAGTCGCCGAATCACGAGTCCAATCACGAACCGCGAGGCTAAATTTTGCCGAAAAAACTTGCCGAAAGTCGGATTTCACGAAAGTCGATGCCGATGAAACTCGGGGGTCCACTGTATTTGAAATGCAATTAATCCGTTTCAGTGGAATTCTGTACTTCAACAATTTAGCCAATATCACTCTACTGATTATTTATTTATCTCACTTCATCTAATTTGACAAAATAAACAATATAAATAACAGAGTTGCAACCCCTGAATGCGTTGCAAGTTAATATGTTAATATAATTATATTTTTTCATATAATTTTAACGTTATTTTGGGCAATAATACTAAATTTAAATGCATTGCTTTGTTTTGTTTTTTGACTTAGTTTTTTGGGTTAGGTAGGATGTAACTATTATGTCTCAGTTCAAGTTTTGATTGTCAACACGAATTATCACCTGGGCCGTTAGACCCCGGGCTTCGTTTCTGAGTGCAGCTGCCACGGAGCATAGTATCGAAGGGGGGGTGTCCTCACCTCCCCTGAATATCTTGGCTAACGCGGGTGGTTGGACGTATTCCAAACAAAGTCCCAAATCCCCCTTATAGGCCCTTTTTGGGAAGACCATCCGTTTTTCTTGCTTTCTTTTGATACCTGTTCACAGAACATTGTATAGACTTATGTTTTTCGACTTGACTGAGGTTGTGTGCTTTAGCACTCTACAACTCAGGTCTTGAGCTGAGTTCTGCCCTAACTTGTACTGGTATCTGGTATTATCACAGTCGGGATTTTTTAGCGGAACTTAATTCAGTGTAGGGGAGTTTTATGACTTTTTGTGGAGGATCTGCAATGGTCCCTACTTAGTTCGTTATATTATCCCTTGTTCCATTCTGTGTCGCATTTGATGTTATTTTCTTTTGGGCTTACATTTTTTTTATTGTTCAAGCGGGCGTTCGATTGCCAGTTGGAAAAGAAGTTAGTTTTTTTTGAGGACTTTGTCAGTCACGGGTTTAAGTCTGTCTAGTCTTGGAATAGCTAAACTTAGGCACTTACACACATACACAAACTTACTTGTACATTTTGTAACATCTTATTAAATGTTAATGTACCAACGGTACTTAAAAACTAAAAATGTTAGTGCTTTCGAACAACACTTTTGTATACGAGAGAAGTGATATTTTTTTGTTTGAATTGATTAATTTTTTTAAATTTGATGATGTACCTCAAATTGATATTTAATAAATTTATTAAATTTTTAATTTTCTCTAGTTAGAACCTACCAATTGTAACCTAAGCACTATTGAATATACGAATCAATGGATAATTGGACAAGGATACTGACTACTTTTATGAAAACCCGTAACGGGGCTGGATGCAAAAGGGCAGTCCTATTAGTTTTCACGGAGATCCTAAGTTTTAGAATCACTTTTTTGAAACAAAGGGGCCTGTCCGGGGGGCTCTTGATCCAAGGGTTTGGGAAAAATTTGTCCATTTTGACAATAGTAACTCATATCCCCCAATTTGGTACTTTTAATCTAAAGACTTTGAGTTTAGTCTTGCAACTACCCGGCCGATGTATGTACTTACTGAGTCTCTTGATCCAAGGGAGGAAATACTGTTTATGACTCTAATCAAAAGAAAACCCAACCTAAAATTCCTATTAGGATTATATTTTCCCATAATCACTCTCTTGTATACAATTTTTTTTTCGTGTTATGCCAAAGTGAAAAGTAATTGATACCTGACTTTGTCGGGTTAAAGTACATTAAAACTCCACCCCCCCCCCTTTTGCGAGTAGCCAAATTTCATGGACGTAGACGGGAATTACACCCGAAACTGTCAGAGCTTTAAATTTAAAGAAAATTTTTTCCTGCTCATACAGAGATGTCTGATTATGATTCAGATTCAGAAAGTTGGGGTGTCAAAATTTTAGGAAGTATGACATTTGATAAAGTAAGAAAGGCAAAAAAGGCAAAGTGTTGACCCTAGGTAGCCAGTTCTGCCCCCCTCCTTCCCCACTGACCTTAGTACAAGTAAGCTGGCATATGACAACCCTCACACTAGACTGTTTATCTACCCCTGTATCTACAAAATTTAGCCGACTAGACTCTCTGGGGACGGTTGAACGGGGTGTCCGCCAAGGACCGTCCGACCCGTTAGATTCCTTACTCCTCCATTCCCACGGCCCCTATCCTGGGAAAAGTTTGAAGGTTGAACCCCTCATTAGTTCAGACTGCAAAAATAGAGGCACAGAGGAAATTGAAGAAAAAATTTTCCAGAGGAAAATTCGTTTTGGGAAACAAACAGACTGATGGGTACAGGACACATTTAATTTCAGAATCTCATCCAGGTTCCTTTTTTTTGAGAGTGACTTAGACACCTATTTTGATGTTTTGAGAACCAGGCATGCTATGAACGGCCACTAAGCACTGGGCCCCTTTTTGCACACAGCTTTGACGGAAGACCAAAACTTGAAATGCTGCTTTACCTTTTTGCTAAGACTTTAGTTATGACCCTGTCAAACAAACTCATTCTAAATAAATTTGTTACTGAAGTTTCAATGCGCTTCATACGTTACAACGACGACAAGATCAAACTTGGTAGAGTTTGCCGTGAAAAAAATTGCATTTGAGAGATGGGTAGGTTGCCAAGTGTAACAACTACGACGCCTTTTTCAGTTTTATACACAAGATTTTAAAACTGTTGTCTGGGGACTACAGAAATCTGTCGATCATCCCCAGGATATTCTGAAACTGCAGCATTGCAGACAATTACGAGATTTCTCACAATTTGTAGTACTAAAACAAGAAACAAGGTAACAAAATTGTCCAAGAAGTTGGCAACCTAAATCAACTGATCATCCCGGCCTGAGTACCTGTCTGTAACTTCTCGTACTTTACCGGGAAAATCACAATCCTGTTTCTGTCACTGTCTAGACAGAAACCCGATATCAGAAGAAGAAAGTAAAATGTTAAAAAGTAACAGAAAAGGACATGCAGAGAGAATGCTCTAAGTTAGAAAAATACGAGAACAGTCTGGGGCGGCGTCCCACACAAGTCAATCCTTTTTTTTCCAGCAACAAAGGCACCAAAATCCTAGAAATCCTCTGTCCCCGTTTGATAATATTACTCAGGATAATACTACTCAGAAAGGTACTGACGAAAAGATTTTTTCACGATGAGTCCTTATTTTTCGAGAGGTAAAGAATTTTTAAAACAATCACATCTAACTGAGTAATTACTTTAGAGACACTGGCAGTTATCTCACGTTTTAAGAGAAGTTGTATCCCATAACTGATGTCCCTATTGCAAGATAGATGTTTTTAAAACCCATGGAGGGGCTGTTATAAAGTCTTTGCACAAAGTTTATGTTGAAACAAATTATACTGGTTATTTTTAGTGGGTAATCCAGTGGTTTTTTCCCCATCAGGTCATGGACTTTTTTGATAGGAACGTACCTTCATGCGGGAAATTTTAAAAGAACCCTTGTATTGAAATAACACTGATGATAATTTGCATTGAAGCTTGTGAGAGAAACTATTTTATTTCCTCCAGTGCAATTACTAAAGCATGCAAAGATACAACAACCACCCTTTTGTCTCCTGTTGATTAGTGGATGACAATGATTTGGGCTTGAAATTTTTTTCAGTATCCCGCCCCGGGGTCTTAACACTGACTCCCCCCGGTTATCAACCTAGTCAGAACCCAACACTTTAAAATTTCTAACTCATGATGATTTAATCAAGGATCATTTTTTTGATCAGTACTGGAAAGACAAGATAGGGGTTTTACTGGAGTAAGAAAAGGATCTCGATAATTGTTACTTTATAGTAATGGGTGACTGATGGAGAAAAATACTGAAAGTTGTCACTGATGTGTTTTCTACCACGTCAAGCTCCGTAGTGTTACCGTTCTTTTTGGAAAAAACCCTTGTTTTGCTCAAAACAGTCCCATGGAGGAATTTGAGTGCCAAGAAGACCCTTGGAAAACGGGCAAAAATTTTAACCCTTGGCCTAAAATAAAGGGAAAAGTAGCTGACATGTGCACTTCCCACGTGGTAAAGGAAGGAAAAGCCCCCACACACACATCCACCTACACCTCTCACTTTTTTCATTGGTAGCAAAGTCTTTTCCTGGACTAGGTTTGTTCGACTCGTAAAAAGGGTTGAAGCGCTTGCAATCCTCTCCCTTTTTGAAAAGTCCTAATTTTAATCTTCCCTTTTTTACTATACATGCGAGTGGCATGCAGGGGTGCTGTGCTACCCAAACAGTCAACATCCACGACTTCTCCATCCTATATGTTACTATTCATCTAAACTTAAACGACACCAAAAAATTATGCATATTGAAAAGAGGGTCTAGCTTTTGTGGGTCCCTTGAACTTTTTTATGTGTATTTGGGCCTTTCCCATTTTAAAAATTTAAAGTTTTTTTTAGACCACAATCCACTCACCTACATAAAAACTAGAAGAGTAAGAATGCTAGGATCATGAGGTGGGCCCCCAGAATCCAACCTTTTCTATTAGTATAAAACACATAATTGGGCATTGTAATGTAATTTTCTGACGCCTGTCACATCCTTTAAAAAATTATCAGTTTTCATTAAATTAATGTAATTTATGCCCCAAAAACCTTTTGTTTCTTGCTATGCAAATTTAGTAATAACTGAACCCTCCGCCCCCTATTAAATATACAGTGGACCCCCCCATAGCGATTTAAAACCTGCAAGAGGGGTCATTGTTATGCAAATGATCGGATACAATGAAATTTTCCCCCTAAGAAATAATGGAAATTAAATTAAAATGCAAGACACCCAAAATATGAACAAAAAAAATTTTACCACATGAAAAATTTCTTTTTTCCCACACACAAAAAAAGGGTACAGCACAAAAGAAGTATACATCACAAAAAAATTGTGCATGTACTACTCTACTAAATGAAGAATAAAACACTTACCTTTTTTGAAGATGCGCAATGACGTGAGACACCCTTCCGGGGGTCCTTTCTCCCGGTACTGTAGGTCCTTTTTTGGCATTTTCTTTCCGAACGGGCCCTTATCACACTGTGTATCCATTTCGATTCTTAAATCTCTCAAAACCCAAACCCTTTCTGGCTTTAAAATTTACCAATATGGGCACTATTTTTCCCGGCATTTTTCCCCGTTCACCTGGGTTTATCGACTGGTGTGGGTTTCATCCGGGGGCAAATTTTAAAGGACCCCATGAAAAAAAGTTAGACAGCTTCAAAGACACTGACATTTTTTGGGTTATTCCCGGGGGGAAATCCTCTGGGGGTTTAATTGTTTCTTGGGATTCTCAAAAAGCCCACCAACAACAGTGCTACAGCAGCAGCACAGCACTGACAGTGTACAGCAGCAGCAACGATCTACAGCGACAGACTTCTACACACAGCAGACGAGCTACAGCAGCACAGACGGACTACGCAGCACAGGCTGACAGTGCACGCAGCAGCAGACGTGCTACAGCGCAGCGACATGCTACGCACAGCCAGGGGGGGCGACGGTGGTACAACACACACAGCGACAGGGTACAGCACACAGACGATGTACACCAGCAGACATGACACAGCAGCAGCGAGCTACAGCACACGATGGTACTACAGCACACAGCGCTGACAGGCTACGAGCAGCCCGACGTGTACAGCACACAACGATCTACAGCAGCGCAGCACGACGGGGGTACAAACAGCAGCAGCTGACAGTGCCGCAGCAGAACAGACAGCAGCGCAGACATGCTCGCAGCAGCAAAGGTATTACAGAGCGCAGCAGCAGCAGCTGACAGTGTACAGCAGCAACAACGTGCTACGCACAGAGACGATGCACAGCGCAGCGACGGACTAAGCAGCAGCAGCAGCTCGGCTACAGCAGCACAACGAGTACGCAGCACAGACGATGCACCAGCAGAACAGCTGACGGTGGTACAACAGCAGCAGCAGCGACAGTGCTACAGCAGCAGCAGACGATGTACGCCACAGATGATGCTACGCAGCACAGACATTACAGCAGCAGCGACGGGACTCGCGCAGCAGCAGCTGACAGTGCTACGCACACAGACGTCTACACAGCACAACGTGCACACAGCAGCAGAGCTGCGGTGGACAAACAGCAGCAGCAGTGACAGTGCTACAGCGCGCAGACGATGCACAGCAGGGGACAGCGAGCTACAGCAGCAGCAGACGGTACTACACGAGCAGCAGCTGACGGTGTCAGCACAGCAGCAGCACTGATGGTGCTACAGCAGCAGCAGTGAAAGTGCGCAGCAGCACAGCTGACGGTGGTACAGGCAGCTGTACCACCAATATAGCGATGGTTGATTGGGTTTATTATACAAAATGGCCAGTCGGGACAAAAGCAGCCACTTTCATATTTTCAATATCTTTTTCTTATTCTAAGTAATTTTCACCTTAATGCTGTTTGGTTGGCACTAGAAGCTTCTTGGGCCCATGTCACTTTTTTTGGGGAGAAAAATCCCAAAACACTGTAAAATTCGAAAATGTTTCCGATTGATTTGGATGTTACCGGGAGGGGGCGGAAACAAGCCACCGGCGGCACAGTGAGGCTGGTGGGGGGCAATTGGGGCGCTCTCGGACGAAGAGCGGTGGCGGGTTTTTTACGGTATGCGAGGCAAAATTTTTGCGATAAAAGCGACGGGATCGGGTTGAACGTTTGCGTGCGTACGGGAGGGGGGGGTTTCCCCTTAATACCCTGTCTAAATTTTTAATTTTTATATTCCGAAGTGGTGTATGAGGAGGAGACATAACTGATGATGAGTGGTGTGTCGTGTGGGGGGATGTACGGGGTATGTAACCTTCCTCCGCAGACCCCCCCCCCTTTACTACAACCCTTAAAACTGTTTCATCTCAGATGTCCATACTCATAGCATTCCCCAAAACCCCAAATTAACCCCTTACTGTCGCAACCCCCCAACCTGAGGTGTTCCTGGGGGCAAAAAATTAAAAAAAAAAAAAAATTTTTTTTCTTATGAAAAGAAGGGAATTTTTTCCCCATTTTAAGACAAAAAAACAAAGAAATTTAGAAAAAAGGGAATTATGCTCTCGCGAAATTAGCGACCCTCGCGCTGTTTTTCAATGGCGATTTTGCCCACTTTGAGCCCTTTTTCGGTTAATTCCCTTGTTCCGTTGCCCAAAACCCAAACTATTTTTGAATCCATTTTTTCTATCGATGGTACAAGAAACTGCCATTTAGTTTCAACTACCTAATAATGTGGTCGAAATTATAATTTGGGGAATTTCCGAAAACTAAAAAAAATGACAAATTTCAAAAAAAGGGCCCAAAAAACAATGCAGACATCCTGGCTCTAAAAAACATTTTTTTTGTTCATCAGTCACATCTCCAGGCCCCCCTTTAATTACTCTTGCTTCTATTTTGAATTTTTATTCAAACAAAAAATAGAAGACTTCTATTTGCGACTACTGCAATACTGTAAAATTTTAAAAAAACCTCAACCCGTTCATGCTGCATATTAGAATGGCTATTTGGGCATTTATTTGGGCAATGGCTCATTGTTTACTTTTTAACATGGGAAAAAAACAAAAATTTCCCCTACTTAGCTTCCATTTCTAGATTCTTTTTTTAGGAAAATCAATCAAAATCACCCCCATTTCTATAAAAATTTTTTTTTTACTATCAAATGAACCAAGAAAATGAAAACAAAACCTAAAAACTAACGAAAATAGACCACAAAATCGGCATTTTTTAAATTAAAAAAAAAGGCGGGGTTTTTTTTTTTCTTATGCACTGCGTGCTCCAGGGTTTTTTTTTTTATGGTGCACACTGACCGCACAGACCCATTTCTCACAGTGGGCCTACCAGTTTCTCCTCTTTTTTGAAGCGAGAATTTACGAGACGTATATAACGTAAAACACGGTACCTCAAAGACGTATATAACGGCCGCGACGTCAAAGGGTTAAGAGTGGAAACTTTCTCCTCTATTAGACGACCCTCTCGTCAGGCTGTTGCGCTACCCTGTCTCTGCACCGATGTACATAACCACGGGTTTCGGAATACGATACTGTGTACCCCCAGTACTAGGGGCAATTTTATTTATAGACATGTGAAATTTGTAGGGTGTTGGCCAAAGAAACTCTGATTAATGTTTTATTATATTTTTAGTAATGAACCTGATTCAGTAATGTAAAGACTTTAATGCAATTCCTAGGCTCCCGTTTTCGTTTGGGGGGGGTTGCAAACCCCTAAATGGGTTAAATGATTAATATTATCAGGGCCCCGATCCGTTGGCATCAATAACGTTAAATCCGCATACCTACTTTTTATCGCTAAGATTTTGCCTCGCATACCGCAAAAAACCCCCTCAACGCTATTCTTTCCGAGGCGCTAATGTGCAGCCTGACCAGCCTACATGTTCCCCGGAGGAATTGTTTCCCCACCCCGCGGTAACCCCAAAGCAAAATGGGGAACTTTCGTATTATTACAGGTTTTTTGGGTGATTTTTTTGAAAAATAAGTGACCAGGGGGCCCCAAGAAAGTTCAGTGCCAACCCTACAGGAAAAAGGGGTGAAAATTACTATAGAGAGAAGAAAGAGATCATTCTAAGAAAGAAGGGGAGTGCGTTCCCCGAGCGGGCCGGGTTGTATTATTTATTATTTTTTATTTTAAAATTTGAGCCACTACAGAGGACAAAAAATACGGAAAAGGCAGACCCCAAGCACTTAACTATGCATAGCATTAGGGGCTGGTTTAAAAATTAACTTAAGATTAACAAGCAATGATGAAAATCAGTGATAAAAAAAAAAAGTAAACGGTTATTTTAAAAAGCAAAAGTGAGTATTACAAAGACAGGTCATTGTTTATGCATTGTTGACATTAGTAGAATGAGTTTTCTGTTGGGTAGTGTATTAAAAAATAAAAAAGTTAGTTTGGGGTTTTTTAGGTTTAACATTTTATGTACAAAATTTGTGAAAAACTTAAGATATAAAATTTATAAAGTTCGTTATTCGTATTTTTTTGGGTTTTGGGTGAGTAAGTGACTTTGAAAAGAGACTTAAATTTTTAAAAACAGGTAGGTTTCTTTTTATTTACAGGAAATAAATTCCAATTTTGACCCTTTTAGGCTTTTGAGTTTTTACATGTGTGAAAGGCACAGGAACATAAAAGGTGACGGCCCTTGTGTTATGGTCATGTGTTTTTTTGGGGTTTGGAAAGGGAATGTTTGAGGGAGGTTAATATCAGAGTTAAAGTGTTCTATTATGAATAGGTCAGTAGAAAGTATGGTGTTTTTTGGTGAGGATTTTAGGTATTGAATTTTGGGGTGGGGTGCTCCTAAGTGAGAATTGTTATCATTCAAACTGCACCCTTTTTTTGGGTAATTAGTGGTTGAGGGGGTTACTTTTTGTTGAGCCCCATCCCAAAAATTCCATAGGTGAATAGGGGTAAAAAAGAGATAAAATTAGGCCGGGGGAGGTGACTGTGAGCATAGTCCCGTATTTCGATAGTAGCTACATTTTCTTGAAATTTTCTTAGAAATTTGTTGTATATTGATGAAATTTGAGTCTATTTCAAGGTGGATTCCAAAATTTTTTCCCCTCTGTTAGCTTTGTGATGGGTTTCCTTTTTATCATTTGTTAAGAGGGACTCTGTCCTTTCCCAAATGAAGAAGTAGGTTTTGTCAAGTTTGTGAAATTTGTTATTCTCTCCGGAGATATTTTCGTAATTCGGTATTTACAGTTTTGGCTAGCGGAGGGGCCCGGGGTGGAAAACGTATGTATTCATCTGAAAATAGTGTGGGTTTGAGTAATTGCGAAGCTTTTTGGTGGGTCTTTTTTAAAGGGAGAAAGAGAAAGGGGCCGGGGGAAATTTCCCCTGTGGGCACCAACTGTAAGGGTTTTGTGCAGGGGAGTTTCCCCCATTTGCATACACTATTGGCTTCTTTTTGCGAGGATGACTTGAATTGGGGGAGTCCCCTCTTTACCATAGGGGACAATTTTACGTGGAGCAAGCCCATGGTCAACTGTATAAAAAGCTTTAAAAAAAAAGTAAGTAAAATGAAGATCCCCATGGGACTTCTTTTTTCTCTT